GGCAGGCAAGCCATACCAAAAGTAACTGAAGGAAATCTCTGAGAAGAGAGCTGGCAACCCTGCCCATCCTTCCTGCTACATTGTAACCGTGTGTCATGGTCTACACTGGATGTTTGCCACTGCCAACCAACAGACACAAGTGAAAATCAAAGACTCATGTGGGTTCCTCTGTGGAGGACTTGCTCCCTAATATCTACAACAGACACCCAGTAACTATTTGCTAATAAATTATTAACACGAATAATTTTGTAGGACACATTTTTTAGAGTAATTTTTGTTGTTGTTGTTAAAACTCATCAATAGGGTCTGCAGAGATGACGGCTCAGTGGTTAGGAACACTGACAGCTCTTTCAGAGGACCTGGGCTCCATTCCCAGGACCCATACGGCGGTTAAAGAGTTCGCTCAACTCGTTGTAAGGCTAGTTGTAGGATCCCCTAGTTGTAAGGACCCCAATGCCCTTTTCTGGCCCTTGTAGACACTGCATGCTCTTGATGGACAGACTGCACACATGCTAAAAATCTATACACACGAAATACAAATTAAAAAAATAAATCTCTAAAAAGTTAAAACAATAATAAACAGATTCTACCTTTTAAAAAAAAATCTACCATGGTTAATTCTGACTACCGACTTGCCAGGCTACAGAACTGCAGAGGAGACTGTCTCTAAGCCTGTCTTGGGGGGGATTACCTAGACTCGGGTAGCTGAGGCTGGAAGACAGCACTGAATACGGGCAGCAGCATCAGTGGGCTGGAATCCTAGACTCAATGAATGGGAAAAGACCGAGTGGGTGCACACATTTATCCCCTGTGCTCCCTGGCTGCAGACGCAATGTGGCCAGCTGCCGTGGCCAGCTGCCTCCTGCACCCGACACCATGACCTCCTAGAAACTCCTTGGGCTGCTCTGGATACAGCAACAAGAAACATAAAACAGTCTCAGTCTCAAAAAGATGTCATGAAAGAACCAGTTTAGAGTCTTCCCTTGAAACAATGGGGAAACACTAAATGATTTAATAAAGAGCAAATGTGTCAAAAACCTACTTGGGCTGGAGAAACAGCTCCCAGACATGAACCCAGGAGGAACCCAAAAATAGCTCAACAGTGACCCAGCTTGGGCACTACTACTATGGCCCTGAGTACTGAGTCCAAACTGATGATTTGAGGCCACTGTTTGGTTTTTCTTTTTTTTTAAAAAAAAAAAAAGAATTAATTAAATGCTTGTTCTCAAGCTGTATTACATTTATTACAAGAAGCAGCTTGATTTCAATATAAAAACTTAAGAACACGGGGCTGAAGAGATGGCTCAGGAGTTAAGAGCACCGACTGTTCTTCCTGATGATGTGGGTTCAAGTCTCAGCACCCAATGGCAGCTCACACTCCTTTACAGCCCAAGTCCCAGGGATCTGATGCCCTGCTGTGACCTCCACAGGCACCAGACACACAGTTGTATACAAAAATACATGTGGGCAAAACACTCATATGTGTGTGTGCATATATATATGTATATATGTTATATGTGTGTATGTATATATATATACACATATATATAGCCTTTAATTTTAATCTTTTTAAAAATATGAGATCATGTGATTGGCAAGTAGCTATTTCCGCACTGTACAATGCTCACGCCACCTGCTACATCCACTGAGTCCACCTAGTTCTCACGCCCTGCTGCATGGGCTCCACCCCAGAGCTCTCTGAGTTGTCCATTCTCTAGCCAAGAAGGGAGCAGGTCACCAAATCCAGGAAGCCCCATGCTCTGATAGGGAGGATGGAAAAGCAAATATCAATCTTTTCTTCTATGCATGGTGTGTGCAGGTAGGGGGGCTGCTCTTTTTCCCTACGAGAAATTCCCTTAAGCATAAATCCAGAGTTCTTAAGCGTGGTGGCCAAAGTAGAAGAGAAATATTCTCTCTGGAGGAATTCCAAAGGCATTCCTCTTATGGTAAGGTTGGTTCAGGCTCTTCTGGTAGCAGGGGAATGTTTGCAAGAAATCACTCTAGGGTGTTTTCCTCCTGCTGTGGATAAATGCTATGACCAAAAGCACCTGGGGAGAAGGAGGTTTATTTGGTTTACTCTCCATCACCTGCTCTGGGGAATCAGAGCAGAAACTCAAGCAGGAACAAAGGCAGGAGCCATGAAGACTGCTGCCTATTGCCATTCTCCCTGTGGCCCATGCTCAGCCTGTTCTATGCCCCTGGACCACCTGCTCAGGGATGGCACCACCACAGTGAGCTGAGCTGAGCCCTCCCATATCAAACAACAATCAAGAAAATCCACTCTTCCTCCCCTCCGTTAAATGCCCACAAGCCGTTCTGCCAGAGTTAATTCCCTAATTGAGACTCCCTTAGATAACGACTGGCTTTGTCAGGTGGGTATCCAAAGCTAAGCAGGAAAAATGGAACCCACAGCTTTACTGCGCTGCCTCTACAGACTGCTCCGGTCCAGCCTTGTGCTCGCCTCTCCTCCACGGACCACACACATACACACAGTCCAGGTGTCACGGGTAAAGAGGCCGCTTGGCATGCCATCCGCCGTCTCCTCATGCACAGCGTATTCCCTCAGCTTCAGAAACCTCATTTCCCGTCATCTTCTCCCCTTAAAAACTCCTACTGCACAACTTGGATCGACTCTGTGAGCTCACCCGCATGGCCCCGTGTCCACGGCCTTCTCTATCACTTCGCACAGAGCTCTATCTGGAGAAAGAGGTCCCAGCTCAAGAGCTGAACAGAAAGTACCCTTTACTGCTTGCTAAACCAAGGAAAAGCCACAACTTAAGGGACAAGCTTTCCCGGGCGAGGCAGACAGCTTCGTGATCTTACAGCAGGTTGAGAGCCCTTACAGTACCACATGAGACCTTTTGATACCGGGTTGCCTTTAGCTGCAGGACCCAAGCTGGGGTAGTGCTGACTGCAGAGTCTGGCTTCATGCATCAGAGTTAAGTTATAACTGTCTGGCTTTACAACCAGGTCCACGAACATGCACACTGGCTAAGAGAAGCAGGAACCCTGCCCAAACCAAGGATTCCTTGTCACCCCAGCCACAGAACGCCCAAAGAGAGGAAAAGACATCTTCATTTCCATTCCCATTGTAATGACAAGATACTAGGATGTGACAGCCATGGTCCCTAGCTCATATTCTAATACCTATTGATCTCTTGCCAGGTCTCATGCATTGCAGTAAGTGCTTTAAAAGATTATCTTCTTTAATCCCCACGAAGACTTAACAAGTGGGTGCTGTCAGCCCTCAATTTACAGATAGGTCACCAGGGTGTCACGCCAGGATCCAAATGCAAACACTATCTCACCAGCCATGACAGGAAAACCACCGCTATGGATATCATTGTCTCCTCCTGGGTGAATTAGAAGCCCACTCCAGGGACAAGCACAGAGCTCATCTCTTGGAACCATGGTAACAAAAGGGTTTCCAGGCATCTTGTGAAGAGATGTCCTATTTTGTAGGAGCAGAGAGAGAGAGAATGCCCAGGAATGTTCTAGTAGTTCAAACCCTAGCTTTAATGTCACTGGGCTTTGCAGTTTGCCATCCCACCACAGCCCAAGATGATAGTAAATCGATACCCAGAACAATATATCATCGACATCTGTAATTTTAAGGATGCCAGACCTTAAAGGTCCCTTGTTCTATCTGGTCACCAACTACTCCATAGCTTATTCTTCATCCTCAACACAATCCCTTAAACTTCAGCGACTAGTCAGCCGCCTGTCAGCTTGCCCAGATGGCGGCAAAAAACAAGCAGAGTCGCCACAGCACGCGAGAGGCAGAGACTCATCTTGCTATGTCTTGTTCCTGGGCCACACTTAAACAGAACCGTTCTGTTCACTACCGGAGAGACGAGTACTCCCATAATGCCTCCGAACTCTCACATGCTACAAAGGCTCTTTGAGAGCTCTAAAGTATGTCTCTATTCCTGCCCCCTCTCTCTGCAACAAACACATGGAGGCTCACCTGAAATGGATCTCCCTATTAAAAATTAGACCTTGGGACTGGAGAGATGGCTCCATCTCTCCATTGTGGCTCCATTGTGGCTCAGTAGTTAAGAGCACTGGCCACAATTCCAGAAGACCTGGGTTCGATTCCTAGCACCCACATGGTAGCTTACAACTGTCTCTAAGTCCACTTCCAGCATATCTGACACCTTCTTCTGGCCTCTGTGGGCACCAGGCATGCCTGTGGCTCACAGACATTCATGATGACAAAACATCCATCCCCATTAATGAGAAAATGAGTTAAATTCTTTTAACTTAAATCTAGCCTTCCGGAAACTTTCTCTTCAGTTCAGCAGCCTCTACCCCCCCCCAAAGGTTCTAGACAGGTGAACATCCTGTGGAGACCATTTGCTGTGGGTATGGATAGCTCCTTGTCACATTTAATGCACCCTCCAAATCAATAATCAGTCCAAGCCAGTTTTTAATACAACTACCAGGATAAAAAGACAGCATCTAGGGAACCTCTCAGCCTCTCATTCACTTGCTACAGCCTGGAGCCAATGACTTCCAGTTTCCTCTGCTGTAAAAAAGGACTATGAGACCCAGTGTGCCTCCAGGGAGAGTCATGAGAAGAGTTATTGCTCCTGACACCCAGGACAAGGCTGCCCACAGACATACCGAGTAGCAGCCAGTGTCAAGATGGAGCTGGTGCAGAGATGCCCGCAGCACCAGAAGTCTCTGAGATGAGTCATAGAACTTCCCAGACCACGAGTCAGAGGAAGTCAACGTAAACCAACTCTGAAAGCAATTAGTCAGGGAAGTGTCTTCAGAAGCTCTCATCCCGTAAGCAGATACCATCGCAAACTCTGGTTGGGTCATTTTAAAACTTGAATCCAAATCCTGAGTATCTAATTTAGGCAAGTAAAATAATGCTTAAGAATTATGGTAGCAACCAGTTTGGGGGAAAAAAAATTTAAATGGAGACTGCAAAGACTTTTGTGACGTTTAGAATCAGAATTTTGTGCCTACTGCCCAGAGATCAGAGCCTCTGACAGATCCATCTTGAGCCTCCGCGGCCTCTTCACGCGGACTGCCAACCCTGAGTCTACCTTGAGGCCACCAGCACTGGTCACTTTTCATCGCTGTGAGGTCACTTCCTTCCCTGGCAAACAACCTGAGCGGAAGGTGAGTTCATTTGGCACGCGGCAGGGATAACACAGTGACGAGGACAGCTCGTGTCACGGCGGCCAGACAGCAGGGAGACTGAATGCCTGCCTGCACCAGCGCCTTTCTTCTTTCCTCCCTTTACTACGCGCCAACCTCCAGTCTAGGGATGGCGCTGCCTGCAGAATCCCTCAGGACAGCGGTGTGCTTTGCTCATCTCCTAGCCCGTCTTGGTGTCGTCAAACGACCAGTACCAACCAACATACCGCCCCAGTCTGCACACAGCCGACTGCCTACCTGTTACTGACTTGACTGAACAGCGCCCTCTGGAGTCGCCATGATTCCGACTCAGCACGTGGCCCACCGGCTCCTCCCACCGCCAACCCTTGCTCCTGCAGACATCGCCCCCACCAGAAATGATTCCAAATTCCCCGCGCTGTTGGGGTTTTGGATTGGGGGATGTTGTTTGTTTGTTTAGCAAAATGGGTAAGAGCTTTAGCAATTTAACAGAAGGGTTTTTGTGTTTGTTTCCTTTGTTTATTATTTTTATTGTTTGTCTTTTGTTTGCTTTCTTTTTATTTTCTTCACTGGTAGAAAAGGTCAGAGTCGTCAAAGTCCCTGTATGTAATAGATAAGACTAAATTATTAAATTAAAAGAAAGGTGATTCCCATGCTTACTACAATGCTATTCAAAATGGCCGTGATATGGAATGAGCCTATATGTGCCACCAACACATGGGTGGAAAAAAAAAATAAGTATAAATACACAATGAACAAAATCGTGTTCTTTGAAGGAAAAATGGAGCCAAAAGATACTACATTGAGTGAAATACACCACACAGAAAAATAACTGTCACGTTTTCTCCCAAAGGTGCAGACACAACAGAAGAAGAGCTACAGGACCTGGAAGGGAGCGAAGACAGGGGGTAGGGGAAAGGAAACTGGACAGGATTAATGAACCGGGCACATATAGAGAGAGATACCACAGTGAATCTTGTTAATTAAACATCAGTGAGTAATTATAATGTTTGACAACCTCGGTCTCTAGGTGGCTGTTGGCATTTCTGAGTCGGCTGTCAGTTTCACTAGAGTGACAAAGACGCTGCTTACAGGAAAAGGAAGAGGACCGGAACCATGTCCTCCATGAAGCCACAAACTGTAGCACCCAAGGATGTCCCTGAGCATCTAATTCTCCTGGGTCATACTTAAGGATGACCGGGGTTTTCTGAATTAAAACACACTAAACAGCCAAGCACAATTTTATGCCAAGCTGGCAAACTGACTTCGCTCTTAACCTTGTTTCGAGTTTCCCTGTTGGGGTTTAATGTTAATTGCAGCTAACCATCCCACAAATCTGATACCTGCATGACCCTTTGCTACAGGAACTTACCCTGGCCCGTGACATTACCAGCCGGCAATTCAAACACTGTAATTCAGCATTGTGAGAAACACATGGGCCATTTCCCAGCCCCGTCTCTACACAAAAATCCCTAAATGGTGACTACGGCTTATGAAGCAATAAAGACACGAGGGTCGTGGATGACAAGAAGATTTACTACAAAACAAAGTCGGGGTTTTGCTGGATGAGAAGGTCAAGTCCCACCATGATCACAAACATCAATCAGATAGCTGCACCCGAGGCAGCTACGGGACAACAGTGCTTCAAAAAGTTCAGCAGTCCTCACATGTGAGCACCCACACAACCCAAGCCTCAGTAAAAAGCCACGGTTTTCTAAGCCACCAAGCACTGGCTGGCTGGCTGCTTGCTTATCTTCAATAGGATTAGTACAAAGCAGGGAACCATTTTTCTGGGCCAGAAACTGTGTCATTTTTTATCATTTTAACATAGAAGTCCCTCATGAAATTCAGCCTTCTCACTGCATCATCGTGGCTACCACCCAGGCAATGTGGATCCTATAAGAAGGGCGACCTAAATACTCCGGATAAAGAATTTCAACCCCTTTGGCTACCTCCTCACCCTGACAGTGTTGGCAATTTTCCCCCTGGGTATTTATGGAATTTAAACCCTAACGAGAAAACAAACACTGGAACATATCTTGATTTCAACAAACTGTTGAGTACCGTTTCTAGACCACCTTTATCCTCAGAAGATAAACTGTTTTTAAAGATTTCATTTTATGTGTATGTAAGTGCAGCGCCCCCAAGAGGCCAAAAGAAGGTGTCCGACACGGACGCTGCTTTGAGTGACTTCCAGGCAGTTGTGAGCTGCACAGTGTGGTGCTAGAATCTGAATTTGGGTCCTCTGCAAGAGCAGCAAGGACTTCTAACCAATCAGCCATTTCTCCAGCCCCTAATAGAAAAATTTTGTTTTCTGGTAGGTCTGGAGTGACAGAGGCACAGTTACACCTGTGTCCCCTGGAAGTAAAGACCTTGGCCAAAATCCATGCTCCTCACTCCTGATGGACTCACGGAGTTGGCGAATAAAATATGGGATACGCTGCTGAATTGAAATTTCAGATAAACCTCAAGTTTATGCGAAGTACTTTAAGTCCACAGCGGACAATATTTAGACTGCATCTATTCTGAAAATAGTATTTATCTGCAATTCAAATTTAGTAAGTCATTCTATATTTCATCTGGCAACTATACCTTTCCAGAAAGCTCAGAGCCCCAAACTGCAGGCGTACAGCTGACACAGCCTTGCAGTCATCTCTAACCATGTTTGACAACGTTTAGACTGGCAAGTCTTCGTTGCCCAAAACGTCAGCTCATTATTTTTCTGCTATCTGGGCTTCCTAAGCATCTTTTCTTCCGAGTCCCAGAACAGGCTTTGCCAGCCCTTACTAAACCATCATCTTCTCTTGGAGAAAGAAGAATCTGCTCTTGGCCATGCCGCTAAGGACAGGAAGGTGTGGGCTGTCACGTGTATATAAGCAGGAGCCCACCTCTCACATTAGACAAATATACAAATGGTCAGATCATCATCCTACAAGTAATCTTTTTGGATCAAATTTTAAAATGCTTCTATGCTGGGCGGTGGTGGTGCACACCTTTAATCCCAGCACTCAGGAAGCAAAAGCAGGCAGATCTCTGTGAGTTCAAGACCACCCTGGTCTACAGAGCTAGTTCTAAGACAGCCAGGACTACACAAAGAAACCCTGTCTCAAAAATAAATAATATACACACATACATACATACATACGCTTCCAAATTATGACACACCCCCAGAGCTATCCCTATTCCAAAAGTTGCCATGACCTGATGTGACTCTCCTCTACAAAAGTAAAACCACTTTCTGCCCTCTAAATAAAACAGCAGTGGGCATGGGCTCTAACATGTCACACTGCAATGGAGAGAAATTGAAACTAGACTAAATTTCTTGTCCCTCGAAACAGCAACAGGAGGGTTTAACTGACGGGATGCTGCCGAAAACCTGAGCTCCTGTTCAAACAATACAATAGGACAACAAAGTTGGTCAGTGTTCTTTTCTTCTAATCTTTGGCATTAGCATCATTAATACTTCTGTATTTTGATAGAGCGGAAGTGGGGGAAGACCAATTAACAAAGTCTTCTTGGCATTAGAGACTCCTTCAAATAAACAATGTGAAAGTCTGTGCGCTGCTGGCTGTCACTCATTCCCTGTCCCCAACTGTAGGGTGTCACTTCCAGTGCATTGCAGGGCTGTAGTTAGCAGGGTAACACATGGTCAGCTCTGGACAATTAATTATGAGAGAATACAAATTCTGTGGAGCCCCGGAGCTTTGAGTCATTGGCATAGGGGCCTCTAGATCTGTTTTCTCGGAGACTCCCAAACCAGAAGGGCTCAGTTCGAGGCATTCTTTCTAAACAGAGCTCACTGACTGACTTCCATGAACAGGATCCCTTCCACCGATCAACAAGGGCCACCTAGAAGGTGTGAAAAGTGTGTCTTTGTGGGTCTAAATCACTAAGGTTCCAGGTTGTTGGTTGGGTTACTGGCCTAGTTCAAGTCAGGATTCTTCATTTAGTGGGGTTTAATATATACTCAGCCAAATGGAAATGAAGCTTTCTAGACACCGCTTGGACCTCACCCCTAAAAGTTGCTGAACATGTAGCATGTGCTATTTTTAACTTGCAGGGATCGACCCCAGGGTTTCTGTGTGTTAGACAAGTGCTGAGGCACTGAGCTATGTCCCTCACACCTTTTAACCCTCAAAAACCTCTGAAGAGAAATTCGATCGTCTGCATCTTGCAAAACTAGAAAAGGCACATAAAAAAGTGACTTTGATTTCCTGTCCTATATGAAGTCCATATTTAAGGTACATGAACGCCTATCCATCTGCATCCCTAGCGTCTACTTGTGTTATTGTGGGTGACAGAACACCTGACCGAAGCTACAAGAAGGAAGGGTTGATTTGGACTCGCAGCTTGAGGATTCAGTCCATCATGACGGAGAAGCTGGGGAAGCAGGAGCAGGAGGTGGCCAGACAGATGGTGCAACCAGCAAGGTGACAGGTGAGCAGAAAGGGATGAGGACTGGTCTCCAACCAACTTTCTCCTTCTTATCCAGTTAACCAACGGGAGCATTTAGAGTGGGTCTTCCTACTTTAATCTAGATAACGCCTCATAGACATGCCCAAAGGTGTCCTGTCAAGCTGACAACCAATATAACCCGTCGCTGTACCAACAGGCCATTCACTTTACTCCATCGGTACACTCTTATTCAAATGTTCATCTCTGGGATTTACTGAAGGACCCTTGGTGGAAGCATCCAATCTTGGAAGCTAATGGAGGGATCCCGGTGCAATGAAGCAGCTGCACAGAGGAGACCCCCTTCTTTCAAGCACCGGTCATTCTTCACTCTAGGTTGAATTTACATGGTTATGGCAATATAGAAACTGTAACTACATAGAGAAGACCCAAAATAAATTAGATTTTATTTCCATGTACAAAAAATATATAACGGGGCAAAGGGGAAAACGTTAACAGTTGTTCTATGTGGGAGCATTCTGCCTCTCTGTTATAAATATTCCGGGCAGTGTATACGAGTCCTCACTATTCTCTATGGCTATCCTTGGCTATAACATCAATACTTCCATGTTCTGCATGCTTGCGCATGGTGTGTGTGTGTGTGTGTGTGTGTGTGTGTGTGTGTGTGTGTAAGAGAGGTTGGGGTTATGGATGGAGCCAGGACCTCTCACACACTCAGCTGCCAGCTCGTTAGTCCTGAGCTGTAACTTCAGTTACTCTTTTTCATCTTTTAAAGGAAATCCTGAAACTTGCATTGCAATCACCAATTGACGTGGCTCCTCGCACCATAATCCCATTTCTCAGATTCCCGTTGATGGCAAACTTACAACCTTTAGCTCGGCTATTTCATTTTGAATGACATTCCATGCATATCTTTTTTTTTCTTTTTGATTTTAACATTTCTCAGAGTTAATGCATAAAGAATCAAAGAAGCTTATCTCTTAAGATTCCTTCACATCATTCAGAATAATGTATTTGTCTACTTTGAAAACACGATGAAATTACTATACAGACATCCTAGGTTCCTTTCTAGAAACACCTTCCATCAGCTTCAAGGCTTAAGACACTGTTAATGAAAAGATAAGCTTATGAAGCTGACTACCTACCGTAGGATGGAGCTGACCACCTATCGTAGGATGAACCTGACCACCTATCATAGGATGCCAGTAAACAAAACACCAACCTGCTGGCTTCACCTGTCAGAGCTTTGTGCTACTGAATCGCCACTCTATCTCCCCCCAGTCCGAGAGAACAAAAACTGGGAAAAGAAGCCAAAGGTCCACTTCTCTTCTCTGTAAGTAAGATCTCACAGAAAATCTAAAACATCTATACTGGCGCTGCGAAATAATACGTGAGAAATAATATAACAGAAACCACAAGTGAAGGCAAACACCCAAGGTAAACGAGGGAACCATAGTGTGTCCATGCTCACGACACACTCAGGAAGAAGAAAACTGCATACGAAGCAGACCCATGGCTGGAGAGAGCATTTGTGTGATTTGTGATGGCAGGGGACATGGGCAGAGAATGAAAACTATCTTTCTTCTAATTTAGAGTTGATTGCGATAGCAATTTTATCTTCCAAAAAGAGAAATACAGTAAATATTTAAAAGGTTATTTTGCCTGAAAGTATTTAAAGTTCTTTTTTTTTTTTTCTGCAGAGGGATAAAAACGAAAAACTCACATGCAGATCTGGATCACGTGCCAGCCTGTGAACAACCCCCCTGCAGCCAAATGGAAGAAACTCGAGGCTTCCGTATGCCAGACCAAACAGCTGGTCTCCCCAAGGAAGTGGGTTAGCAAGAGGCTGGCAGCCCACAGCTCGCTGCAGAAAAGCTCTCCTCGGAGCCTCCTACTTTTCGTAGTCTGTTAAAATAGCCACCAGAGGGGAGGGCATACGGATGGGATGCAGCCCGGTGCCAGATAGTGAGGGGTGAGAAAGACACGACTCCCAGCTCCCA